CTATAAACATTGGGGTGCACGTACCCCTTCGGATCCCTACATTTGTATCTTTGGGGTAAATACCCAGTAGTGCAATTGCTGGATCGTATGGTAGCCAGATAGAGCCAAATTCTAATACAAACCCTACTCGTAGCAGGCATGAGCTGTGGTCCTCTCATCTGTCCAACCTGCTCTGTGGGTTGGTGAAATAATTCATTGAGATAAGGTCGGGGGGTGGAATGGAAGCAAGTACCTAGAATTATCTTTCCTTTTTTGAGTCAATGACCCTGTTCTTATTGCTGGCTGTGAGGGCCTCAGAATTAAGGGGTCGCTTGCCTCTTGGGCATATGTCTCAGGGTTGTGAGTTCAAGGACCCACGCTGAAAAAAAACCAAAAACAGACTTTGTAGTAGAATCCAAATTTGTATGGATTTTTTTTTTTTTTTTTTTTTACTGTACGAGGACCTCAGAGAAAGCCTTAGCACTGTGGTAAGGTGCTCTGGCCATGCCTCCCAGAACCCTAGGAGCATATACTTCATCTTTCTTCCTTATTTGGTAGAAAAGCTTGACCTGTGCTAAAAATTATCAGCCCGATAAAGTTAACAATGACAGTCCGAATTACTGTCATTGCCGATTTGTGCTGAAAAAGTGCTTTGAAGGCAGAAAAGGAGATTCACTAGGTAAACAGTGTGTGCCCTAAAAGGGAGAACAACTTGCAAAGGTTCCTGCAAAGCTTTCTGTCCTAACTCCTACCTAGCTGAGGGAAAGCCTCCTGCATTTGCAGGGGATGCCTCAGGGGCCTTTGCCCTGAGGCAAAGAGGGAAGCTGCTTTTTAAAAGGGAATTAAATGACTGCAACAACTCCACAAACAAAAGCAAAAACAGAAACCCACCTGAACAAAGCAGCTGGTCCAAAGAAGGTTAGGAGGCCTGGGTTTCCATCACCCCATTGGCATGTCCTCAAGGCCTGTTTGCTTTCTCTGACATCCTGTGGGCGGGGCTGGCTACAGTGGCTGTATCTCTGGAGTTGTGGTTGATTAGGCCTGAGTAAACCATTCCATTCTTGACTTCCAGCTGCCCCAGGTGTTCCACAGGCCTACCTTTAGCCAGTCAGTAGGTATGTTTGGAGGTCACCATGCCGGGCTCTGGGCCGGAACTTGGCAAGCTGCAACTGAACAGGGGATTCAGCAGACACCTTCCCAGTTTGGGCTCCAGTGCCCCTTCAGCTCCAGGCCAGGTTGAAAGCCTGCAAGGGTCTCTCGGAGGTCTCTCCCCGGGCCACTCTTTACTATATTCAAAACATTAAAATACATAAATTTAACACTGTCATGCTTTTCACCCACACAAAGAAGTATAGTGAAGAATAATTACACTTTTCACAAGATTGCAAATATTCATAGGTCTTTACAGTCAGGGAGGTCTGGGATATGAGTTATAAAATTGTCTGATGAATGTACCTTGTATATAGTGTATATATGTACCATATGTATATGTGTATATATATAATTAAGGTGTTGAATATACAGCGAATGTATAATGTCATTTGGAGGCAGCAGCAATAATTTAATTTTGAGGCCCTTCAACAAAGTGAGACCTGAGCCAAATGGTCTTCCTGGCTGCCCCGGTGCTAAGCCCTGCATCCAGTGTCTCCTAGATGCTGGACACAGTGTTAGCCCTGTGACATATGACTGTGCTGTTCACCCCAGGAACCAGGATTCCTGGGGGTAGGGCTAGATAACAGAAGGAACTGGAAGTTACAGCACTCAGAGGCAACTTTCTAAAGCCTTAGGGGCATAGCAGAGGCTGCATCTGTTTGACACATAGTAAGCCTTCCATAAATATTTGTTGCATGAATGCATGAAAGAAAGGACTATCTGTGGGTAAATTCAATAATTAAACTGATGAGAATAAAATTAATACTAATAATAGCTGCCATTCATTGGCCATTTGCTGTGCATGCATTTTACATGCATTATTTCATCAAATTCTCACAACAACCCTGAGGGGTGAGATAGGAATCTTATTTGTATTTTACAGCGGGGAAAACTGCCTGGAAGGTTAAATGACTTGGCCAAGGCAAACAGGTAGCATATAACAGATCAAAAGCTATAATATTTTTATATTAAAATAAACATTGAGTGGTGTCTGGGTGGGCTCAGTCAGTTAACCATCTGACTCTTGATCTCTTCTCAGGTCTTAATCTCAGGGTTGTGAGTTCAAGTGCCCACGTTGAAAAAAAAAAAAAAACAGACTTTGTAGTAGAATCCAAATTTGTATGGATTTTTTTTTTTTTTTTACTGTACGAGGACCTCAGAGAAAGCCTTAGCACTGTGGTAAGGTGCTCTGGCCATGCCTCCCAGAACCCTAGGAGCATATACTTCATCTTTCTTCCTTATTTGGTAGAAAAGCTTGACCTGTGCTGAAAATTATCAGCCCGATAAAGTTAACAATGACAGTCCGAATTACTGTCATTGCCGATTTTACTTGAGGCCACATTATTACCCCCACTTTACAGATGAGGCACCTGAGTCTCCCAGAGCTGATGTGATCCGGTCACATGGGTCTTCTCCCGGCACCCACTGTTACCTCACCTGTGCTCGACTGACCCTGGGTAGCAGCTCAGTTCTTCCGCCACCCACAGAGATAGCTTTTCTTCTCATTCTTTCTTCCCTAAGTCAGAACACAGATGGTTCCTGTTTTGTGGCAGCAGGATATTTTTTTGGAGGCCTGCAGAGGTAGACAAGGGCAGTATCCCACCTCTTATGTGTAGGGGAGCCTCTGGAAAAGGTAGCATTTAAATTAGGATGTGATGGGAGGAAAGAAACGGGGGAAGAGAAAAGGTGAGTTTTGGGAGGGGGCGGGGGGGAGGAAAGGTTCTGAGGTAGATGAGCCACATCTTTATTAAGGGAGCCAAAGGCATGATACAATTTTTTTAAGGGCTTCACTTCTCATGATAGGTTGTTTTTTGTCCTCATAGTATTCCCTCCTGGGGTAACAAAGATGGGCTCTGTGTCACGTTGTACATGCATTTTTTAATGCTCATCCCCACCCCCCCTAGAGCACCACCAGGATAAGGAATTGCACCCTTGTCCGTCTGCTTGGGAGAGACAGAACTTGGCACTTCTCTGCGTGGAGGTGAGGGAGAAGCTGTCAGCCAGCCAGAAGAGCCTTGAAGTCCTCCGATGGCTGGTGGGAGGAGGTGAACACCGCCAGGGAAGATGGTCTCCGGTTTTGGCCCCGCGTAGCAGCAGCTCCCCGGCCAGGGCCAGGGATGTGCCTCTAGAGCACCATGGACCGAGCCCACAGCGCAGCCCTGCAGCTGCACCAGCTGCCGCCCACAAGCAGCGCCGACCCGCTCAGCGAGCTTTCCTTCTCCTACAAGGCAAGAGCTTTTGTGGTTTTGAACTGTTGTGTTTTTATAACAGGAGAGTAACACAGCATAGCGCTGGCTAACAGATGTGTCCAGGGGCTGTGTGCCTGGCACTGGCAGAAACAGGCAGCGCTCCCCGCCCCCCCCGTAGGAGAACGTGTAATCCAGAGGAAAGAAACGCTCAGGGAAATACATAAAAATAGGGGGTTAGAGAAAGACATAAAAATTGCAAGGTAGAGAAATATTTTTAAAGGGATACTTTCCCACTTGGAAGATCTGTTGTTGTTGTTGTTGTTGTTGTTGTTTAAATCACCTACTCTGTTACTTGGAGACAAGCTTTGTTCATATTTCAGGATATTTCCTTCCTGTCTTTTTTTGGTGTTACACATTTGGGACCAGATTGTACAGAAAGTTTTGCATCTTGGTTGTTTCACTTAAGCCTGTGTGTGCGGTATTTCCCCATGTCATCGAGTAGTGGTGATTTAACGCATACTTTTTTTAAAAAAATATTTTATTTATTTGACAGAGAGAGAGACAGCGAGAGAGGGAACACAAGCAGGGGGAGGGGCAGAGGGAGAAGCAGGCTTCCCGCGGAACAGGGAGCCCGATGTGGGGCTCAATCCTAGGATCCCGGGATCATGACCTGAGCGGAAGGCAGATGTTTAATGACTGAGCCCCCCCAGGTGCCCCTAACGCATACTTTTTGAGTGATTGCCCAATAATCTGTTGAGTTGCCATATCAAAATTTTCTGGACAGATTCCCTATTGCTGGCTGTTCAGGTTGTTTCTAAGCTGGGGTGACTGTAAACAGTGCTGCTGCGCATGCTCCTTTGCTATTTCTAAGAATTGGCTGGCCTGGCAGAGGGGGTCTGGTGCCTGGTGAGCGAGGCCACACATGCCAGAGCATCAAGCATACAGAACATAAGAAAATACACTTAATACAGTTGGTTCTGTGATGAGTGGATGCCAAATAGACAAAAACAGAATCTAAGAAAACACAGAACACTCTCCCAGATGAGACTTCTAGTAAGTTTCCATTTTAATTACAAATTAACTCAGTTACTTATTACAGAAATACCTTCGTGCCAGAGCAGAGATAAATCAATCATGGTGACTCTACCAACAAGAAGAACTGAGGTGGGAGGAGGCGCCTGGGTGGCACGGTGGGTTAAGCTTCTGACTCTTGGTTTCGGCTGAAGTCCTCATCTCAGCGTTGTGACATCAGGCCCGCGTTGGGCTCTGCACTCAGCATGGAGTCGGCTTCAGACTCTTTCTCCGCCCCCCCGCCCCTCCCTGCTGTGTGTGCACACGCGCTCTCAAATAAATAAATCTTTAAAAAAAAATAAAATAAAAAAGAATTGAGGTGGGAGACAAGCACATGGGCAAAGTTAGGAACTAACTGAAGTTCCGGGGGCGGGGGGTGGATAAAGGGAAGAAGACCTGGGTTCCAATCCCTACTCTGCTTCTTCCTAGCTGTGTTATTGGACATATGGCTTAGCCTCTCAGAGCTTCTGTTATGGGTAGAATGGTGTAGTAATACCTCCCTCCATCCCTCATCCCTGCAATCATGTGGATCAACGAAAAAGCACCTAGCCCATGCAGGAGGCAGAAGTGCCTGTCGTTACAAAGAGGAGCAGATGAAGGTGCTTAAAGCTGAGGAAGGTGTACTTAATTCCCTGCCTGGGGAAGTTGTTTTCCTCCTCCTTGATTTTGTTATGGCTATTTTGGTTGCAAGGAATAAAAACCCATTTCAGAGGCGATGAGGCAAAAGAAAAAACTATTAGAAGACTACAGGGTAGCTCCTAGAACCAGAGGTAGCAAGGACAGTGGAGATTAGAAGGATCGGGACTTTTACTCCACCTTGGAAGGAGGGAAGACCTGATTGGCCAGCTTGAGTCAGGTGTCTACCCTGGTCCCATCTGTGGCGGGCAGGGGGGGTGGAGTCACACAGCGAACAGGTTTCTGGGGGTTCCGTGCCTGTGGGTGGCTCTCAGTGGAAGGTGGTTATATGGGCTGGGCAGGCTGCCCCGAAATCATTTATCTTTGGGGCAAGGAAAACATTAAGAGGGCTCAAGTCCAACTCGATCAGTGGGGTGAAGTCAGTAGCAAGCCGTTTGCCTTGAATGGCAGCCCTGCTCTCTGCCCTCCCTTGTTGGGGTGGGGAGGGTGGGGGTGGTGTGGTGTGGAGGGGGGATTTGTGAAAGAGAGGCCAGGAGGCCAGCTGCCCAGAAGGCAGCATAGCCTGGGGTCCCTGGAGGCTTGGCCTCAGTCCGGAAGAGTCGGGCTTCAGTTTCTTCTGTTCAGCAAATAGGCATTTCAGCTGAGCACCTGCTATCCATGCCTGGGAGGGGGGCTCTATAAATAATTGAGATATCTCTTCCCGGAAGGGGTTTACAGTCTAGGGAGGGGGAGCTATTTCTGTCAGTACCTTACCCTTCAGGACAGAATTTGATAAAAAGATGGAGATACAACAGGTGTTAAGAGCATGGCCGTTAGAATCAGAGACCTGGCTTCAAACTCCAGCTTTCTCGCTTTCTATCATTATAACTTGGGGGAAAGCTGTGCAACTCTTCTGCAGCTCAGCTTTAAATCCGTCCTACAGGGGTGGTTATGAGGATGGCCTGAATGTACAGATGAAGGAAACTGAAGCTGCCTGCACCATCCCCTGTTTCTACTGATAGAAATCCTACCTATCCTTTCAGCTCCAGCTCAGGTATCACCTTTGGCAGTTTTCCTGGCAGGAAAATATAGGTCCTTTATCATGCTTCCGTAGCCAATTCCAATTACTATAGTAATCATCATGATCATAATGGCAGTGAACATTGGTTGAGTGTTTACTATATGGCCGGGACTGTGCTGATCCCCACAAAGCCCCCATAAGGTAGATACTATTATAATCCCATTTTACATATTGGGAAACTGGCACAGAGAGGTTAATTAACTTACCCAAGGCCACACAGTCAATAGGTAGTAAAGCTAGGATTCGAATTGAGTCTGTGCATTGCCAAGGCCCTTGCTTTTATCCACCAGCTTTTATCCACCACTCCCTGCATTGTGCCAGCCATTCTGCAAGGCCCCTTCTCTCCCTGACATTGGTTATTAAGTGTTGAAATAGCAATCCTGGGGAAGATAATGCCTCCCCTGCTGGAGAAGGTAAGTGTCAGGGAGCTGGCCTGAAGCCAGGTTACAGGGCAGCAGAGCCTGGTTCAACCAGACTGATGCATCTCTTGTATTTGAATGTGAGTAATCCTCAGAGCAAGCCAAAATGCAGTTTATACTTAGCTCTTGGCAGTTTCAAGCCCAAGGGATTGTGGGAGGTCAGTTTAAATAGCAAGTGATGACTGGTCTTATCACCGTAGAGTTTAAATAGAAGCTCTCGTTGGCAGATGTAAAGCAGATGTTGGAACTGGAGATTTGAGCTGGTTCCACTCAGATACCACCATCCAAGCAAGGTTTCCCGCCTTTGTGACCTTGGGCTGCTTTTCTGGAAATCGTTCTTTCCCAGAGTTGTAGCTGATAAAAGATCAATTCTTGGAGCCAGAAGGGTCCTTAGAGCTGTTGCTAATAATAGTGATGATAAAAAAGGAAATTTTAAAAATAATAGTAATGAGCTAGAATTGTGTTAGTATTTTTTATGTGCTGGGTGGTCTTTCAACACGTGCCTTATATCATGTAACGTGACAATCCGTGAGCGTTTACAGTCACTCCATTTTTCAGAGGGGCAGCTGAGGCTCAGAGAGTTACAGTAACTTTCCTGGAGTCACACAGCAGTAAGTGGCAATGGCAGGACCCCAGCCCAGAATTGCTGGTCTTCAACGTCCATGAAGTGACTTTGTTCTTGCTGCCCCACCCTTGACATTGAGGTCTGTTGACGCCACGCCGAGAAAACCCCTGAGTCTGAAACCTTGCTGCCTGCTTCTAGTATTGCCCTCAGCCTACTTCCCTCACTAGTGGCACTTCCCATTCCGAGACTGCGCTATGAGTACAGTGGCTGGAAGTCCTGGCTTCATGTCCATGTATATTAATAGAGCCTCCTTTATTCTCACAGTGTCCCACTTGGGCCTACCTATGTCCCAAAGACAAGGTTCCTGAGAGTTGGGAGACCTCACTACTACCTCACCTGCAGTATATTGTAGACCAAAGTGTTGGGAGGACCTGATCAGGTTTGGCCTTTCCCTTTCTTGCTCTGTGACTTTGGCCAAGTCTTGGTCCTTCTCGGGTAGTTGAGATCCTCCACTGACAGCAGCCCCTGCTGAGGTATTTGCCTTCAAAATGAGGATGGCCCTTGCCTCCTTCCCCGCCTCCCTTCCACCTCAGTGGACTCTGCCCAGGTGGTTCTCACAACCCGCCCCTCAGTGGGAAACCGTTGTTTCACTCTGGGACAGAGTCCAGGGTCGCAGCCCTGCTCTGGGTTAGCCGTCCACGTACATGTGCTTGTTGAACACTTACCACTTTAGATAACTTCTGTGAACACACCTGGTGTGGTTCCTCTGCAGAAGAGGAACATGGTGGCTTGTCCAGAGGCGGAAGCCACCCAGGCAGGGGCCCTCACTTCCCTCCCTGCCAGCAGACCCAGACACCGCCATTTTACAGTTCACAAGCTCTGGGCTCTGGAGGAGGGGCTTCATGTCAGGAACTCTGCGCACCTCAACTCTTTGGCCAGACACTTGAGGGCTGCTAATAGGTGTATGTTCAAACTGCAACCGCTGGGCCGGTGGCATCGCCTTTGCTTGACTTTAAATGCTCATAAAATTGAACCAAGCACCACTTCACAAGAGCTTGGGGCATAATTAACATTGATGAAGCCCTTTGAAATGCCTGGATGAAAGGACATTTAATTATATTGCGCTGTTACTAACCAGGTCTGTCCGTAGCCAGTCATTATGCATGGAGATGACTATGCTTTGTGGAAATGGCCTTTAAAAGAAACCTCAGCTGCCCATGTCACTGGTGGGAATGGAGCACTTACGAGGCGGGGTTATTTTTTTTCCTAATTCACTTTGCCACCTTTA